GATTAAGAAAGAGAAAAAATGTTCTTTTTTTTTTTTTAAATAACCGCTTTTGAACATCGATATTACGGTAGCGCTGGATTGGAATGAAGAGAACTTGTTAAACAATTTTGAAAAAAGCTCCGAGATTTTCCAGTTCTGCGCAAAAAATTAGTGATATACTTTCAGGAAAGCATTCACCAGGTGGCCACGTCTCCACTACCTTGATTATTTAGACAAAAACTATAATTCGTGTTGTCGTATTTACTTTGACGAGCATGGGGCAGTAGGAAGAAACACTGTTGGTGCGCAGTAAATCGAGGGTTCGACTCTGTCTCCGATTTTTTTCTTCCGCTCTAACAGTTAATTTTTTGTGCCGGCACATCCCGGGAGCTCAAACCTACCATCGACTTGCATGCAAGCAATCCTTGAAAGAGGAAGCCTTAGCAGCCTTCAGCGAGTGCTTGCTGTTAGCATTTGGTAACAGTTGTTAGATCTGTGTCCCTCGTAGGAAGCGAATACGGAATGGCTTTTAATATCTCATACACACATCTCCTTAACTGAAATTGATAAGTCAGGGAAAACGCTTACATCACTAACCCCCCCGCACACCTTTTCCAGGTAATAACTGCTATTGAAAAAGCATGAGAAGATCGCTAGTGAGGGAGCTGAAAGGCCACACAAGTAGCGGAAAAAATATGACACATCCAGCATTTTTTTCAGTGAGAGAAAAGATGTCGATGAAAATGAACGTCAGAAGCACCAGCAAGCTTAACATCAGGTGAAAAAACTTCAGTCTCTGCAATCATAAAACGGGTGCCAATTTCATTAGTGGCCTGGGGATGCTGCTAGGATGAGCAGCTCATCAGCGTCTGTAAATATTATTAAACCAACTTGAAACTCGGTAAAAGACAGTTCCGAAATATGCCAAGACTGTGTGAGCATCTTATGTTAGTGACTGAGAATCTATGCGACAAGAGCATCTATGCCAGGCTTTTAACGCTCCTGAGTAACTCAAGTCCAGCTAGTAACTTCCGACTATTGTATTATCTTCCCGACGGCTAAATCAGCTGAACATGCGTTTTTGCGTAAGCAAATTGCAAAAACGCATATTGCAACGACTCTGCCTGTGTATATGTGTGTGTATATTTGTGTGTGTGTGTGTATATGTGTGTGTATGTGTGTGTGTGTGTGTGTGTGTGTGTGTGTGCGTCTTCATCTGTCCGGCTATTTCAATTGGGCAACTAAGCAAGCTTCGGCGCCAAAATTTTGCCATTTGATTCCCCTGCCAAGTATCACCCCAAGGCCGTGGTACCGACTTTTACGCATGTCTGGGCTCCGCTTGCGAATGTGTGAAAGTTTTGGTGGGGAT